GCTTTTTTAACAACTAAGAGATAAACCCACTCACTGAAAAGTTAGATAGATGAGCTCCCTAACTTACACAGGGCAATGTTTGAAGCATGGAAGTTAAGAGGAAGAAACAGGATGATTCCTTTTAGTAGTATAAAGGAATCCTTTAGATTAATTTATATAAGTGTCTTTATGGTCAGTGTAATTGCTCACTCTTTCCTGATAGAGAGACTAAGGTATCACAGAATATGCCGAGTTGGAAGGGACCCTCAAGGATCATGGAGTCCAACTCCTAGCCCTGCACAGGACCATCCTTGAGAGTCACAACATGTGCCCAAGAGCATTGTCCAAACATGTCTCGAACCCTGCCAGGCTTGGTGCTGTGACCATTTCCCGGAGGAGCCTGTTCTAATGGCCAATCACCCTCTGGGTAAAGCTTCTTTCTCTAATATCCAACCTAAATCTCCCCTGACACAACTTCAGGCCATTCCCTTGGGTCCTGTTACTGGTCACAACAGAGAAGAACAAGGTAAGAACTGGATTGATGTACAGATGCATACGTAACACACCAGCAAATAAATAATGATTTTTGAGCATGGTTTTTACTTTCAGGACTTCCTTTTTGCCCTCTTCTTCGGGTGTCTGCCCCTGCCCTCTGCCCCTGCATTTGTATTCCCTCACGTCGCTCTTTCTGTGCCGGTGACTCCACCTGGTGGCGCGGGACTGTACCGGGGGAGGCTCGGTTTGAATTAAAATTCAAATGCTACTTAATTTAGTTTAGTTTAGTTTAGTTTAGTTTAACCCTCTTGACACATTATAAGACACAATTTAAAAACAAGGCAAAGATATTTTGTTTTAAAAATTTGACCCATCTCGTGGGAAATCTGTCCCTTACAGAAGAAATAATTTTAACTTTTCTTGATTGTAATAGTTCTTCTTTTCTCTTTCTGCTTTCCCTTTTTCACTTGATCTACAGCTTCTTGTGTCTATAGCTGTGAGGCTTTGATCTTGTAGAAGGGAGAAGGACCATGAGGGAAAAAGAAGCAGTAATTTATTGGGCTGAGAAGATTGAATTCAGACCACATTGTAATGCATGTTTTATGAATTAGATTTTATGAATAATGCCAGCATTTTACTTTTAAGCTCCTAATAGCTTGCCTAATAGTTACAAAGATAACTTTTCAAAATAAATAAACCCACAGTGCGGATGTGTATAAAAGCTGACTATCAAAAATGGTAAAAGATGCATTTTGCTGACAGAAATAAGCATTGTAACCCCAAGTTCTGAAGGGTGTTGCATTGTTGAAACAGACAGCTTGCAGAAACAGAGGAGCACAGAAATAAGACCCTAAAGGCTCGGAATTCTTCCATCATAGCAATAGCTCTTGTCTGCCCATATGCTCCATAAACATCCAGTCCTTTCTTTCCTTCATCTCTGCTTTCGTAAACCCAGCCTGCTTGCATTTGCCACGCCGTATCTGCTGTCTGTCTCTCTGTCTCTCGTCCCTGTGCCGGGCCGTGTCAGCAGGGGGAGCGCCGAGGGCTCGGGAGCGGCCCCGGGAGAGGCGCTGCCCAGCCCGGCTGAAGCGAGCGCAGCTGAGGGCAAAGCTTCGGAGAATGCTGGATCCCAAAGGGTCCTCTCTGGGCGCTGTGTGAAATCTAATGGGGTTCAGTTGGCTTGTTGAGGGGCAGAGGGGCAGTAAATCTAGGACTTGTTAAAGGTTGGAACAATTTTCATGAGGAAAAGAACAGATATACACCTTCTATGCTGCGTGTCTAGCCTAAGTATTGAAAGATTGAACAATTAGAGTTCTTTAATTACCTTACTTTATCATTTGTTTGCTATAGTAAAAAACCCCCATGTTAATCCCAGGCTGAGCTATTTGAGATCAGGTATTGAGTCAGGCTTTTCTTTATATTTTCCTTCCCTCCTCTATGCACACGTCCATGGTGTGTAAATTATCATTAAACTGCAGTTCTGCAGTGAAAAAGACCCCCACAAAGTTATCAAAGAGAAATATATGAAGTTTTTGATGTGTTGGTTTATTTTTTTCCTGTTGGTTGTAGCTTGTTTGGTTTTTTCTAACCCAAACCCAAGAATTTTCCTGTTTCTGGATGTCTTTGGTGAGAATGAGCTGAGGGTCAGAAAATTAGCCTGAATTGGTCCAAGGTAATCAAAAGGAGAAAGGTATGAAGGACTGTTCCTTTTCAGCGTCAGTGAGCTGTTTAATCTGCTCAGTTTTTCATATAGAACTGCACCTCTCCTGTTCACAGAGAATAATGAAACCTATCTATTGGCATCTTAAAAAAAAAAAGTGTAAAGTAGATGCTGGAATAGTATTTGAAGATTTAGCATTAGTTTCAGTAATGAATGTAAATGTTTATAGTATAGTATGTTGCTGCTGTGTGGTTTTTGTAGCAAAAAAACTGTGTTTGGATGTACAGATCATGATTCCTTATTTTTTTTCCACTGTCACTTATGCCAGTGCTGACAGGTGGTGTTTAGAAATGAAATAAATTTACAAGTGTCTGCGAGTCTTTGAAATAGGTGGAGATGACGATTTTTCTCTAGGTCGAATGTGTCATGGGTATTTTGTATGTTAGAAAAAGTGAGTATAGAGGAAGTGTAAAAACTCTTTCCTCAAACTGCAGTTTCAAAGATGTACGTAATTGTCCTTCCAGCTTAAGCAACTTCTGCGTCTCTTTTTTCATTATACTGATGCAGCTGGTTTTGCAGGTACAAAGGAATCAGATCAGAGAAACAGTTCCACTGGGAGGGGGGAAGCAGAACTTTGCATCTGATACTTTTTTTTTCCTGGGCATGTTGATTCTCTGATCTTGTTTAGAGCTCAAACACAGTGAAGCAAAAGTAGGAATAGGGAGTCATGGGAACTGCAGGATACTGTTCACGTAGTGCACAAAATGTTACCAAATATGAAGGCATGATTTCTGAAAAAAGACATTATACCCTGTGTCTTGTAAGACTTGCAGTGATAATGAAAATATTTGCAATGACGTTAATTTAGTCTGACTTCTGAAAGGGCTTTTGCTGCATTGTTTTTTATATATTAAAATGCTTCATATCTAGTTGAAACTTGTAGTGTTTATCTGTATCTCACAATATGTAAACTACAGAAGAAACAATTAAGAAAATATTTTTTTCTAAATGGCAAACTATACTAACAGCTGAATGCTAGCTTTTCTCTGGCAGCTCAAAACTTGACAGGATTAGTTGGGAGTTCTAACTCTGAGATCCCAGAGACTTGTTTTGAGGTGGTGTTATCAGCACTACCAAATTTTTCTTGCAGCAATTCTTCTTCAAAAAACATAGTTTCTCCCTCTCATTGATTTGTCTGAACTATTTGTGCTCGTTAGAGAAATATTCCTCAGCTATAAGTGAGTTTACATAATAGCTTACAGTGCTGATACCCTTAACCTTTTCAGCTTCTGGGTGTGCACTCACATTCCTTCACTTTAGCTAGGACTGACACTTTTTGGATTCCTTTAGCAGGGGAGGTCTTGCCTGTAACCAACCATCATAACAGAAAATTGTGGGTTTGTTTTATATATATGTATCTATTTTTAACTGCTGCATTACTAAGTTAAAGGCATTTACGGAAGGGTTTGAAAACTGCCACTGGCAGTGCAAATTCAGGAAGAGACTATCAGGGCAGGAAGAGCTGCTTTTAAGTTGTAAGTGATAACACAGTGTAACACCATAACAAAAAGGAAATTTTAGTTGACCAGAAATTTTTAAAAGTGTAGGCCTTATAATTTAGATTAACATAATTACTTTCCTGCTTCTTCTGGTGATGTGCCTTTTGTTGGGAGACAGTGGATTAGTTTCATAATATTCACTGCATTAGTATGCAATACATTTTTTTTTTTCAGTATAGGTTTCTTTAAGCATATGTATTCATTCTTGGAATGCTTTAGAGCATTACAAAAACCAATCAAAATCCCACCAGAAATATTAAGGAATTATTTTTTCATGTGTGTTTAAGAGTTGTTCCTAGAGATAACATGCTACATTTAATAACTGCAGGAACTGCAACATTATATTATATAAATAGTACAGATTTAGTACTGATGAAATAGTATTCTGTTTGGGGAATATTTTAAGGCTGTTCTGCATCATGAAATATGGATTTTTCAATTTGCAAAATTATTCTAAGAAGCTTGGAATGAAAAAATTATTCTGGATTCTTGCTTTGATACTGCTGTGTTTGATATGATTGATCTTTGGCCTGATATTTTTATTGATACCACTACAAGCTCAAAACAGCTTTTTTTTTTTTTTTTGCCTCTTTTTGGTAATAACCAATATGACATTATTATTCCCATTAGCTTTTAATTTAAATTGTGTACTTTGTGTCTTAAGGAAAAAAAAAGCATCAGTTGTAGTGCTGTTGCATTGGGATCTGGGATTTGTGTTAGGCTAAGTTACACAAGGGATGTATTTGAGGTAAACCACACATTTTTTTGATACAATTGCTTTTTTTTAGTTTTACATTAATGTAAGATGTCTGTGAAACATGAGAAACTGTAAGTTATATGGGGGTGTTGTCTCTTGTTTGTTTATATTTTTGTTTGTTTTGTATGTGTTTTTTTCCACCTTTATGTGCAATAATTCTGGAGGTTCTTGATTTTAATGACTGTTATTAGATTTAATATTTTTTTATATATATCCAAAAAAAAATCCCTTCTCTCAGAAGCTTCCCTTTACCACAAGCTTTGATATGACATCAGTGAGTAAAGATATGGTTGTGGATGTCATTTTAATTGCCTTTTAATTTAAGGAAAAGGTGACATGTAAATAAGATAGTCCTCTAGCACTAGTATGTTAGAGATAAATGAAAAGTAACTTTAAAAATGTTTATTTAATATTGAATAATGTAGCATAATGATAACCACTGGGTAAAGTGATTTTTAATGCACCTTGTTTTGCTTTTTTCTATGCCCACAGCTTTATAAGACTTGTTAGAAACTGTGATGTAGTGTAACACAAACTTTTGACCTGTGACTGAAACATAAGATTTTTATTTGACATATGTTATGTACTGTTACATTGTTTCATAGTAGCAGTATTCCCCTCCAATTGACATGATACATTGTTATTTAGAGTAAATAAAAGTAATTGGACAGAAACATAAAAATTGTGTTTAATGACTGTTTTTCTACTGAATGAAAAAAGCCAAGAGAGCTTCTATACTTCCACTTCCAAGGTACCTGTGGGTGAAAGAAAAAAAATAGGATGTTTATTATTTAATTTACTATTAACTGTCTATGTTTTAGAAGAACTTGTAATTTCAAACGTGCATGTAAAAGGTACTTATGATCTTAGAGGTTCAAGTCCTAAGAACAAAGGGTACATTGCAGACAGCCCCCTTAGGTAGGTAGTGTTTGCATGACTGGGCTTTACATACCTGAGTCAGCACTAACTGGATTCAGTGAAGAATGATTCCCAGCACCTGTGAGACAGGGAGACAGAGCTGCATTTTTTGCAGTTTGTGAGACTGCATTTCCATTATTTTCAGATGGAGGTTTATGGGAATAAGGACTACAGGAGTAACTTCTTAGCAATGCATATGTTTTAGACAGAACATTAAACCAAGCGAGATTATGTATATATAATGTAGTTGGATAAATGCTTAAATATTACTCTTGTAATAAATCAGGTTTTAAGATGAAACCAACAGAGTAAATAATACCAGTATCTTTTTATGCAGGTTTTGATGGTTAATTGGGAGTTTAACAAATTTACCTGTAATTTCTTCATATTTCTGTTTTCGCTATACATTTCTACAGCTGTTTGAAATGAGTGGTGAAGTACCTCAATTGCCCCATTTTCCCATGCCCTATACCTCTTCAGAAGCAATTCTCAAAGAAGTATATGCATAGGAAAAAGGAACAACGAGCCAGATCAAGATGAACTCCACTTGTGGCAAGAGTAAACCTGGAATATAAATGTAGATATTAGGGAAAATAAAAATTAGTTATATTCTTTACACAGTACAATTCCTTTTGAACTGTAAGGCTGTTAAAAACCTGTGCAGGTTAGAACAGAGGTTAAAGTATGAGATAGCCAACATTATTGCCTAGGATTCAGCAGAGACGTAACAATACTTAATATGTTAAAAATTCATCAGTGCATATTTTGAAATACATACAAGAAAGTGTAGAGTTCTTAGAAAAAATGAAGAGCAGCTCTGTAGAATTGACCTGAAAATTATTATAAGTTAGTAACAATATCCTCTTTTCAGTATATTGCACTATTGCGCAGTATTTGAGGCTTTTATATTTAAGACCTGAGAAAATAATTATTTGAATTACTGAACAAATGCATGAGAGAGAGAAAAAAAGTTTATAAATTACAAAATGTGGTAAAATCATCTCTACAAGCAGTAACAAGACTTACCTGGTTCGCTGTCTTGATGCTTGAAGTGCAATAACTTCGTTTTCAAGAGAATTTATGCTCACTCAAGACCTTGAAGAAATATGAACTATACAGTGTTACTGTTTTCTTAAGTGATAATCAGTTTGCCCCTTGCCAAGGTATTTCGTGCACCTGCAGATTGGGTACACAAAAAGTGCTGCTGAAAACATAGAAAGTATCATTCATATGTTGGGGGAGGTAGAAATGGGAGTGCAATAGACAGCGGAACTGATAGGAATAATTAAAGTGGTGTCTTGAAATGTGCTCTGAGAACGAGAATTTATCGTCTGTGTTTTCTTTCACATGCGTCAATGGAGTTTGGAAAATGTAAATCTGTGAGAGGACTTTTTGTTCTCAAAGCATGTGCTGTGTTTTCAGTCTAACCCACCCCCCCTTTTTCCCTAGCACACTATTTTGAGAATCTCTATCAATGTCCTTCACTTGCAAATATGACTTTACTAGGGAGATAGCAAGGTCTGTGTACAAGGCTTTCCACTGCTTATCCAGGCCCCAGTGAGGCTCCCTGCTGGATGCCAAGGCTGGGAAACATCTTTCAGCATATTTAATCCTATTTGCTAACAAATTCTTTAACCATTTGCTTTCAATTTGCTGTCTTTTTTTAGGACCTGTACTACACTATTAAAATGCATTTCCTATGTAAAGATGTCCTGTTTTATATATTAGAAGTCTGAAGTGATCAGCCAAAATTGTTTGGAGTTGGTTCAGATTAATTCAGAGAACTACAGTGTCACAAGCAGTCACAGTACCAATTGTTACATGCTGTTGTCTGTTTATTCATAAGTTTGGACGCTCCTGAAATTCGTTGTGTGCTCTTTCAGTGCCAGAAGATTTGTCTGTTTCCTTAATTCCCTAATTTTTTGTAACCTCAGGTTCATTTTGTTCCTTTCTGTCATAAGAAACTGTCATTGCCTTCTGATTTGTACACACTACCTTGAATACAAAAAATATTTTTGTTTTTCAGTTTAGTATGAATCTTTCCTTAGATTTTTACAAGATATACAATTGATTCTCTCAGTTTATCTTCAGAGAGGTTCTGTGCTTCTGGCCTGAAGCCATCCTAGTTGTGGCCTGAAGCAAGTACCTTATGTTTTGTGATTTATAATATGCAATACTTACTTCAACTCTACCAGGCTTTCTGCCTTCCGTCAGACAGTTATATCACCTGGAAAGAAGAAAACTATACCACACAAACCCAGAAAGTGTTCAGAGCTCTGAGCACTTCCTGTGAACACTTTTCAACAGCTTTTCATACAACAGGTGTGCTGGGGGAATTGTCAGTTTTGGTTTTGCTATGTGGTGTTCTGAGAGAGAGAGAGAGAGAGAGAAAAGTTTGGGTTTTGTTTTGTTTTTTTTTTTGTTTGGAAATTGAACACTAAACTGCTGGATTAGCAGCTGGAACACAGATACCGTTAAAGCTCTAATCCTGAGTTCTAGATAGGCCATCTAATGCCATCAGATGGTGTGTGAAGCTTTGGTTAAGGCCTATATCCACAAAAGACCTTAATGAAATCTGGTGTGGGGTCTGAGGCTTCTGATAAGGGTTCTCACTGAGACTAATAAGACTGCTTATTTGTGTGTGAAGTAGCAGTCCCTCGATTTTTGTTGTTTATATTTGGTATTACGTATTTGTGGATGGGGAAAATACCTGGTACACCTGATTTGTAATGTATCAGTCTCTCTTAAGAACACAGCTAAAGCTGGTTTTGATTTGGATTGCAGAATTAAAACTTTATAAACTCTGTTTTATTCAGAAGTATAAATAGAACAGGCAACTTTGAAATTAAAAAAAAATTCTAAATGAACACACTTGTCAGTCTTTTGCCTTTGATGTTGAATACAAAGTGGTGATCTAAACCCTTTTAACCTCCAGGTATGTTTTCTGAAATGTACTCTATTCAGGCATTCCTCTGAAAGCCACATAAATTTGGTAGCTAGTGTAAAAGAAATAGCCTAAAATTTTAATGCATACAAAGATTGATGTCTCCAGTATTTTATGTGCTATATGTGTAATTTGGTATAACAAATATTTAACAACCACTTCCTATATAAAGATCCATGCAAACTTCATTTCATGCATATATATAGACCTGTGGATTGTGGCTGTTAACTACTGCTAAAAAAAAAAAAAAGAAAAAAAAAAGAAACAGTCGAATGAATTACGGAGCACTGATGTATCTTAGAGCTTATTTACTGTTTCAACACCCTCTGAGCAGTTAGAGTCAGTGGGACTAGAAATCCCAATTATCTTGTAATGCATTTTCAAAAGGACAGATTATAGTGCTTGTGAAGCTCTGGAACATGTTTTTCATCAGATTACACCAGATCTCTCTCTTAGCTTGTGTGTTAAACCGAGTGAAAGTCTTAAGCAGTTTTATTTATGGGCAGCTCTGTGTGTGTGTGTATGTGTGTTTTTGCAAGGGTTTATTTATGGGCCTTGAGCTGGTTTTCACTTTGTGATTTTTTATTTTTTTATTACGACTCCAACGGCCTTGTGTAGATTTTTCATTTCTCAGTATTTCTGGCTTTGTGAGAAATTTAAAATAGAATAGAATATTATATTATATTTCAGGTGGATGGGATCTAAAGTGATCATCTAGTCCAATTGCCTGGTCAATTCATGTGTGACCAAGTTAAACCATGTAACCTGTGACAGTGGTTGAAGTGTATTGGAAAAAGTCTCACTTAAAACACCACATGAATGTTTCCCACAAGAATAAAGTAAGTCCAGATTTGGGGAGGGGGGTTTGGCTACAAACTTTAATTGCATACTGATGGATTTATTTCTTTTTCAATCAAAAGTTTTTTGTTGATCATGACTGATTTTAAGCTTTAAGTTGCTGCTTAGAGCTGCCTAAAATAAGGAAGCACTGTATTATTATGACGGATCATCACTTCTAATGTGAATATTTGGAGGTATGTTCTTTGTTAAAGCTGAGGGCTGGCACTAATTGCCACATAAACTATCAGTGAAACGTGCAAGTGAGGGCTGAAGAAAATGATGTAATTGTCCTTCATGCTGATTTTTTAGTAAAATGGTAGGATACATGCTTTTTCACTGAGCAACTAATAGGATAGGAAGAGTTCTATATTCCAGGACAGTGGAATACAGATTCCTGGTTCATGCGTTCTATGTATGTGATTTCTGTCTTGTCAATATTCGGCTCCCCTACAAAGCTCAAATATTTTAACAGTGACCAGGAAGGATTAAACAAAGTTTCTTAAAAAAAAGAGAATATCAACACAGACTCCCAACCCTCCCCCTATCCTAGTGGTTTTGGTATTATTAATTTACTGATCATTGACTTTTGAAGAGAGAGAGTTTGGCATTTTTAAATTGATATTTAAAATCTAATGGCCTAAGTAAAAAACACACTTAATTGTAAGTACCTGCCAATCTTTGAGCACTTTGTTTAAACAGTCCTTTTCTAATGTTAAAAGCTATTCTAAATTGAGTGTATGGTTGGTGCATGTATGTTTTCATGTTTATATGTGCGAGTTCAGTAGGTTTTTGTCTTTTTATTATACTTTATAGTGCTTAGCGCAGTTAAGTGTACATTCTGAAGACAGCTTTAAAATAATTCTGAAGAACTGATGTTGCTATATTCTAAAAGTGGTTTCTTTGGTTGCAGTGGCCTGAGTTGGGCTTTTTCTTAGGATTAAGGCATAAGCACTTTGTAATGTAGATATGTTTTTTTGCTTTCCACGCCTTCCGTATACAATCAGTACCTGTATCAGTCTCCTTTCATTCACTATTGAGAAGTTGATTTGTGCCTCTGATTAATCAAGGGTGACAATATTCATTGTTACTTTTCCAAACAAGAATCTTTGTCTTTCCACTCTACAACATGGATTTGCTCATACATCTGCAAAGATTTTGATTTGCTTTCTAGAAATCTTTTGTTAAAATTCACCTTTTGCCGCAGTACCTACAAGAACTATCTTGATAGATAAGTTGCTGTGGGACTGATCATATTGCTCATCATGCTGAGTAAGTTGTCATCACTAATTAATGAGGTTAATTTTCTCATTGTTTTAAGCTACTCTGTCTTCTGTTTTGTACTTCACTGCATTGAGCAAGAATTAATTTTTTTTTTTGTTCTGTGATGTGCTTAATAGAATCCATTCAGGGTCTCTCTCTTTAATGATGAATTCCTCTTAATGAAACTACAGCCCTGCATTGCCCTGTGTGATTCACCAAACAAAAATCAACACACAGCCTCTTAACAGATGCCTGGGAGAGCTGCCAAGGGCTTTGCAGACAAAACTGCTGAATTTATATCAGTCAGGTTTTAAGTTTTTAATTTATTCTGTAACATGGCATAATTACCTGGACAAACATATAATCAAATTACTATTATATGTAGCATTTGTGGTAAACATGCATAATTAAAAAATAGTGAAGATGGCCATAATATTTATATGTAATGCTTTGAAGTTTTATATAGTAGTGTTCTGGC